TATATTGTTGTGTTTTTATCACTCATGTAAGCCGCCCCGGGTAGACTTTGTCTAGGGGGGGCGGGGTAAAAGTCCAATAAAAGTAAAGTAAAGTAAAAAGAATCCCACCACCAGCACCACTGGGCCTCCTTGACAGGGGCTGGACTGGATGATCCTTTAGGGTCCCTTGCAGCTTGGTGCTGGTAAGATTTGTTAAATATTCATATAATAGTTTCACATACCAATGCAAGCATTTAGAAATAGGCAGCACTCAAACACACTGCTCTTGCCCTGCAAAAATGCATTCAGCATCTACAAACAACGTGTAAAACTTTCCATCAAATCTATGGATCAAATACGTGTGCTCTAAAAATTTACGCTTTTCCCCCCCTTGGATCATTGTGGTAGGGGGGCAAAATTTTCTAATGGCACATTTTGATTAAAAAGAGCACCCCAAGAGATCAAAGAAGGGAAAAAAAGAAGAAGAAAATACATTGTACAACTCGTAGAAAGCTTCGGAGTGTAGATTATTTTCTCTGCCCTCTCTAGAAACATTCCTACGGCTGCGTGCCAATGATTAACGAAAATCAATGGATCCAGTATTGGACTGGGACCCAGGAGAACCGGGCTGCGTGCCAATGATTAACGAAAATCAATTGATCCAGTATTGGACTAGGACCTAGGAGAACTGAGTTCAAATCCCTGCTCAGCCAGGAACATTCACTGGGGGAGGTGGCGCTGATAAAACCACTCCTCCAACGTCCCACGTGCCTTGAAAACTCGATCCGGGGGACCCTAAATTGGAAGCAAGTTGGAAGCAAGCAACAAATCAACGCAAATAAGCTGTAGGTTTGAGCATAAGTCATGTAGCCTGTATTGGCTGCACTCAAAGGGCCCGTCCAGAATGGGACGCCCTGCTCGCTCTCCTTTTCTGCAGCCAGAGTGGCCGGGAGGTCCCTCCGAGCACCAATCCTGAACCCGAGAGGGGTTCAAATCCCTCTCACCTTTGGAGGGGGCTCCTGCAAAGACGTTGGCTCCATGATTTTGGGGGGTCGGTGGCGATTGTTCCTCTCTTGTTCCCGCGCGATGTCCTTCTCCATCTGATAAATGTCACTATTTTTTTAAAAAAGAAAAGAAGTGGGGAATTGGGGAAAAAAAGGATCCAGTCATATAGCTGTCACAGCACAAAGTACATCCATGGAAGGGGTATTTTTTTTACCCCTGTCCTTACCAAAGCCAGGAGGTCCATAAATGGATTTTAGAAGCTTTATTGGGAAGGCTTGAAACCTTGAGTCTCTCCCCCCGCCCCCCAGGATGCGTCTCACACCCTCCAGATGACACTCATTTTTGGAGAGAAACTGGGAATAAAGGCCAAGATTCCCCGGCTCTTATACCATGAGATTTCTCTGTATGAGATTTCCCTAGCCCCATTTTTAAAAAAATCACAACGGGTCCTCTTGCAGAATTTCTCAAACCTTCCGTCGCCCCAAATCCCTAGAATAAATTATGCACCCCTAAATGGATTTTAGAAGCTTTATTGGGAAGGCTTGAAACCTTGAGTCTCTCCCCCCGCCCCCCAGGATGCGTCTCACACCCTCCAGATGACACTCATTTTTGGAGAGAAACTGGGAATAAAGGCCAAGATTCCCCGGCTCTTATACCATGAGATTTCTCTGTATGAGATTTCCCTAGCCCCATTTTTAAAAAAATCACAACGGGTCCTCTTGCAGAATTTCTCAAACCTTCCGTCGAATCCAATCCCTAGAATAAATTATGCACCCCTATACCCGGGGTGGTGGTGTGTGCACTGTGTTTTAGATTGTATTCATACGTATTTTGTATTCTTGTATTTGTTTTGGCAATTTTTAAAAATAAAATAAAGTAGAATAAATGATGCAAAACAGGAAGGATTCCGCAAGCCAGCCAGCGGCAGAATTGATTCAGGTTGCGGAATGCCGCCTCCTCGGTCGGATGCAGAGCCTGGATGTGAAGGCTCGGGGCCAAGGCGGGGAAGGCCGGGCCTCCCACTTACCTGAGGCTACAGACCAGCTCCTTGAACTTGGGTCGGTCGCTGGGGTCGTAATCCCAGCAGCGGGTCATCAGGGCGTAGAGGAGGGGCGGGCAAGCGTCCGGCTTGGGCAGGCGGTCCCCTTTCTCCAGCACGGCGATCACGTCTTTGTTCTCCAGCCAGAAAAAAGGCTGCTTGCCATAGCTGAGGATCTCCCACATGCAAACCGCTGAGAGGGGAAACGGGGAGCCAGAGAGGAGGAGCATGGGTTGCGGAGTCTGGCCAAGCCTCCCCCACCCCTGCCAAAAGCTGAACACTTTTCACCCAACCTGGGTTAGCTTCTTAAGCCAGCCTCTTTAAGCTAGCCCCTGGTTTTGAACTTTTTTTGGGGGGGGGAACAGCCCTGCCGTCTCTCCAGCTGTTGGGACCTTGCGGTGCTGAAGGACACCGCTGCCAGACGAAGAGAACCGGCTGGGACGACCGCTCTCCAACTCACCAAACATCCAGACGTCGCTGGCGGAGGTGAAGCGCCGGAAGTTGATTGACTCGGGAGCCATCCACTTGATGGGCAGGCGGGTCACCGAGGCTGCACAGGTGGGGGAAGAAGAGACCCCAGTGGCACTCCCGGAGGCAAAAGGTTTCACGGGGGTGCTCTTGCTTCCACCCCATGCTCTACCACCCTGGCGTTTTTGTGGGTTGAACCCTGAAGTCTCCCATGACGCTCTAAGCAACAGGCCTGAATTGACAGATGGGTGGAAGGCGTGGGGAGACGTGGGCCGCTCAGCATTGGTGGGGGACGCTGGAGGGAGCTAAGCCCATCTGCTCTGGGGAAAAGAAGACTGGGAGGTGACTCCACAGCCATCTCCCAACATCTGAAGGCCTGTCGCGTGCAAGGCGGAGAGAGCTGGTTTTCTGCAGCTTTCAGAAGGTAGAGCCCGGAGCAAGAGATTCAAAAGAGTTTTTTGTTTTTTTACTTTAGAATCCAACCCCCTGCAGGAATCCAAACCAAAGCAGATCGGGCAGATGGTTCTCCAGCCTTCTCTGGAATGTCTCCAGCGTTGGACCACCCATCCCCTCTCAAGGTCACTGGTTCCCGTCGTTGTACTGCTCTAACAGTTGGGAAGTTTTTCCTGATCTTCAGCCTAAATCTGGCTTCCTATCACTTGAGCCCATGGTTGCGTATCCTACACATGAGGAAGATGGAGAACAGATCCTGCCCTTCCTGTGTAGGACTACCTTTCACGTTTTTTGACGAGTGCTGTCCTATCTCCCCTCAGTCTGTAGGAGCTGTTCAAGAATGGAACGGCCTGACTCACAGGCTAGTGGGTTCTCCAGCAACGGGGGTGTTGAAACAGAAGTTGGAGATCCACTTTTCAGGGATGCTTTAAGTAAGGGTTTCCTTCTTTAGTGACGGGTTGGACCAGATTCCCCTGGTGGTCCCTTCCAGCCTAAGTCTTCTAGGACTCTATGTGTGTGTGTAACATGTAGTTCAGCCTGGAGCTATGTATGGGTCCTCCTTGGGGCCTTTCCTTACCTTTGTAGTATTCATCATCCTCAATGTACCTGGAGAGGCCAAAATCGCCCAGCTTGACACAATCGGGGGAAGCCACCAGGACATTCCGAACGGCAATATCCCTGTGGGTAACAAAGTAAGCCGGTCACCCACCTTTCAGGAAGTTGTGCCCAGCTAGACACACGGCGACAAGACTTCTCTGTGCGAATTCTCTCCTCGCTCCACGCCAAGAAATTTAGTGGAATTTCTCAGAGGTTTCATTGTCATTTTTCTTTTATGGAAGACATAGTAAATCCTGCACAGGATGGCATCTCTCCTATACAGGATCTACCCAGCATGGGCAGAAGAAGTACTAGACTGCAGGATTGTTACAACTCCTGCACAGTATGGTATCTATCCTGGGTACAAGGTACTGGAAAGGGGATCAAGCTGTGCCGGATTTCACAACTTCCTGCACAAAACAACTAGTGAAAAACTGTGGGTGGGGAGAGGAGGAAAAGTCTTGTTGTGGAGTCTCAGCATGGCAAGAGTGAAAGATGTCTGTTTCTAATAGCATGTGGCTGCTTCCTCTTGCATTTAGCATGCTTTGTCTTATGAATAGGCTCTTAGAAGGAAAACATAGGTTTTACCTTTTTGTCAGGAAGCCCTATGGTGGAGGCGAAACGGGTTAATAGGAGCAGGACTACACATGGACCTCAACAGATGGGGAACCCTGACCTCTGAGCGTTCAGCATGGAGGCAGGCGGTGCATCACGGCCTCTCCCAATTTGAAGAGACCCTTGTCCAGCAGGCCGGGACAAAGAGGCAGTCCCGAAATCAGCCAAACCAGGGAGCTGGACAGGGGACCGATTGGATTTGTCTTCAGTGTGGAAGGGATGGCCACTCTCGAATCGGCCTCCTCAGCCACACTAGACGGTGTTGCAAGACCTCCATTCTGAGCACGTGACCATCGTCTTTCCAGACTGAAGGAGGCCTAATCGAACACATTCCATTTTGCATCTATTTTTTATTTATTTTATTTTATTTATACCCCGCCCATCTGGTCTTGTGACCACTCTAGGCGGCTGAGCAGTCTAGTTTGACTGCTGCTAGTTTGGCACGTCAAAAATCATTCATCCGTCCATCTCCTGAATAGGTCCAAGTTCCCTCCAAACCCAAAAAAGCACCCTAGTGCGCACCCATTTGGCGGCAAGGATGAGGAAGAGAGACCACCAAAGAAGGATGTTTTAGCACCAGATTAAGCCTCACCTCTATTGCCTACAGTTGCCTCCCTAGGAGCCTCCTGGCGCAGTGGTTAAACTTGCTCACAACCAGGATTCAATCCCAGGTCGCCAGCTCAAGGTTCATTCAGCCTTCCATCCTTCCAAAGTTGGTAAACTGAGTACCTAACTCCCTGGGGGGGGGAACAGGGGGAGGCAGTGGCACTGTGTTGCCTGCATCCTTAAACTGTAAGCTCCCCCCCCAGAGAGTGCTTCAAGTATTATGGGGTGGTACAGAAGTCACCCAGATGACTTTGCCTTTGCATCCAGGGTGGGTGGGTGTGCTTGTGGATTTCTGAGGGAGCCCTTCGGTGGGTGCTTGCTGTCACATACAGCACTGATGGTACCTGTCTGTCATGGGTTTGGAGGGAAAGTTCCATCCTATGGGGAGTGGAAGGCGGGACATCAGGGGGGAGGAGCTGTACTGTATATATATTTGGAGGCTTGTGTGGAGAAGTGGAGTTGGAGTCTGTGTGTCAGACTGGGTACAACTGTGTGTCAGTTAGTACATACCTGATAGGTTCAGGTTTCTATTTAGGTAGCCAGAACTGATAGGTTCAGGGTCTGTGCGTTACCTTAAAGGGTTCAGTGGGAACCAATCTGTTATATGTGTATGTTTGGGGCTATGCCACGTTACAGTATCCTATTTACCTGATCCTTTTATTTACCCTGTTTGTTGTTTGAATAAACCTTGTTCTTTTATTTATTAAAATCCATTCCTGGTCTGTG